TAAAAGGGTGGCAGACAAACTACTGCTGTTTGATGAGAGGCTGTGTCAGTGAAAAAGTGAGTGGAGCAATGTAGATTTTGGTCCAGTCAGATGTGAGGTTCAGCATCCAGGTGCAACAAACACTGAAAATTCCTGGAGATGGCACAGATTTGGGGATTATGGAACCCAGGAACCAAAGGGGTCACTGCTAACAGTGAGAAACCAGGGCTGGAGGCTGAGGCTGGAGCTGTGCAGTGGAACAGTGCAGATTACAGAGCAGGATGTCGTCTGTGCAGAGCCACGGGAGGATTTTCCAACTCCTGACMTCTCAAATGGAAGTTGCTGAGCTCCACCTGGGTGAAATCAAATGACCTGTAACACACATGGATTCAGATCAGATGACCCAACTGTACTCATTGGCTTGAAATTCTTTGAAACTTGTAAGGCCACAAAGGTTTCCTGCAGAATTCCTGGTCTCTGTCCTGTGGCTTAATCCAGTCTGAACTAAAGGCAGGAGTGTTTTTAGGACCCCGCTCGTTCAACACTCCCTGAAGATGTCCCTAGCATGGATCTCAGATGGAAGACAACCTATTTCTGTGCTGTTCCTTGYTGCTTTGTTGTCCAGCTCCTCCCTTTTGGGCTGTTTTCCTTGGGTTTGTTTGAGGGAATGGCTGATGGTGCATGCTTCCCCTTCTCCTTTTTCCAGGCACGGGGCCCGTTTTTTGTTTCATTCTCTCTGAAGATGACATGGTTCCATAGATAATCTGTCGAGAGCTGGGGTATTTCATGTGTCAATAATTACAATTTTGGATGATGGAKGGCAGTCTGGGGCTGGAGCTGCAGGGGTTTTAGTGGGATGGGAGTGGAGGTGTCCTGCAGTTTGCCCCACATCAGGCAGGGCAAGGACGGTGAGTTCACGGGTTCTTTTAAAGCCTGGGAAATAATTCCTTTAAATGTTTGGGAGMATCCACACGCTGGTGGGAGGCTCCTGTTTGCTATCTGCAGAGCTGAGGGTTTTATACCCATATTAGGTATAAATAGAGGTGGGCTGGCAGATAGAGCCAAGGTCACTGCGWCTCCTCCGAGCACCGGATGAGCACGGTTCTTCACTTTTAACTCTTGTAATGCACTGCAGCAGCCGCTGCTGGTGAAATTAAACCTGAAGGATGCAAAGCTGGTCTAACARGGATGTCTCAGCCTGGTCAGGGAAGCTGGGATTAACTGGGAACTCCAGGCCACTCTCACTGCATTCCTCATCAGCTGCAGTAATAGTCTCAAAAATCACAATCCTGCTCCAGGGCAGGAGGAGAGGGAGGCAGTGAGCATATTTCTCAGGGTCACACATTTCTGGTGTTATGAACCAAACCCTTTAAACTATGAAAATTATCACTTYAGCAATTGCATTTGTGTTTTGGAAGGTGGGAGGACTGTGAGCTGAGGACTTTAATCTGTCAACAAATGCTTTTTTTTTTTTTT